GCGCTCGTTTTCGCGAATGTAGCAGCTGCCCGTAAGCGGAAATCGATTCAGTCTGCCGCTGCGGTTTCTTCAAGGTTGTTCCGCGGTCGATCTAACTCGTTCTTCGGCCTCTCTGAGACCCTTATAATGCACACCACGGCATGCAGTTCTCTGTTTTCCTTCAGTTATCTGTCTACTCGTTTTGAAATTTAATTTCGCAATCTTTATATGTAGATTTCTTGATAAAGCCGAAGGCAGCTCCAGATTATGTTGCATCGCTTTTTTTTTTCTTGTTAACACAGAGTAGAACAGTAGAAAAATAAGTTCTAAAAGTGCGCCATTGCGTGCTCACACAAACAGGATACGAATCCCGTGCCTCTCTTGTATCTTCTAGCGCAATTGAGCTCAGTCTTTAGCCGTGTCCTGTGCTCGGAAAAAAAAAGCTTGATTTAGCAATTCAGGTACCCATAGCCTGAAAACTAGAAGCAACAATGATTTGGAAGTAACAGTTATGGGCGGTGTTACGCAGGAGCGCCAAGTTTGTTTTACAATATGGTGACCTTTGTTGTTGAGGTCACACTGTGCTATTAGCTGTTATGGTCATTGTGCTAGTGCCGGTTCACTACACCAGTCACTGGCTTCAACGGTTCTATGCACTCAAATTTCTACTTTACAAACATAGGTAGGTTGGCATATGTTCTTTCCAAAGTCCTCGTTTAACTCTCCCGGTTTATGTAAAGTGACATCGCGGTGACACAGCGATGTTCATCTTATAATCTCATAGCTTTGACATTCTCAGAGAGATAGGCGAGCACATCTGTAGCGGTAAACAAAACTGAACAATTTTCAAACTGAAATTATTTATATTTCTCAGTTTTCATCCAGATAACTTCATTGTACGAAAAAAAAAAGACATTGATTTGGTGAGATCAGGCGCGCACTTGGACTCTTTCGTGGCGCTCTTGAATGAGAAGAACGTGAACGAAACGAGGTAAAATTAGGGATATAACGCAGATGCTTGATTTTCTTTACTACCAAATATTTGTACAACCCTCGCACAAAAAGAAAAATTGGTGGACAACCGACGGCCGGTTCCCCTTTTTAACATTGAACTAAATCATTAAACTTCAGCTTTTACGTAAAAGCTATCTACAAAAACACAAAAAAAAATGAGGTGTGCTTTTGAAAGTTTTAATTGTTCTAATTTCTAGTGTAATGCCACACAACATGAGCTCAACGCCGTGTTTGCTGGTATTCACATAACAAACTATGTTTAATGAAAAATTGGTCTGGTATACCAGATTAAGAGTACGAGTTTCTTTATCTGTAGAACTCCATTCAGGATTTTGCAACATCGAAAATGCATGGAACATTAAGTGTTCTGGTTCGGTCACTATCACGACCGTATACATCTATTGATTATTTACAATATATCTCAGGCCACTGCCTCACGTTTACAAAAATGACACTAGAATCGTGGACAATGTTAGCTGAAACGACCGAGCGACGACCGAAAAATATAGGCAGCCGGCAACGGCCAGTCGGGGCCAGCAGGGTGAGAGCGCACGGTTACACCCTGTATCGTTGTAACTTGGCAAACGGCGAACAATAAGCTCCACATTGCGTGCAAAAGCCTTCGAAATGCGCGACGTGTACGAGCGCAACGCACACATTATGGAGCATGTCGCAGCGAAAAGCCTTGGCCCGCCAGGGCCGTAGCTTCCGCTGTACTGGCACCTTACGGGATCACGGCTTCCTGGGATACCCAGTATTTCTTGCTTCAGACACTAGGCTCAGCGGCGCCACCGGAGTAATAGCTCACTTTTGAACTATGCAGCCGCCACTCCCAGGGGTACCCAATACTTCTTGCTTCAGTCGCTAGATGGCGCGAAACCAAACAGCCATTCCAGGTTGCCTATACTGGGTGTTGCCTCGGCGCGGACATTTCAACTAGCAACACGAGGGACCAGCTAGCGAATGACATGGCAGTAGCAGGCTGTCTGAGTCAGCCTCATTCTTCTTGAGAACTACGTGTCTTTGCCACACACGCTGCTTCTGGGCTCGTGTCTAGTTATCTTTACGTTTGCCTGTACGAATATTATATAAAAAAAAATGTATTTTGCTGGCGCATGCACAATGCGCCCTGATAATGAAGGCCACGTCAAGCGCAAGTAGGATGCAGCAACACGTAAATGCGAGTTACAATCGAAGTGATCCTCAAAGCGGGAAACGGAACACGCCGAGTCACATAGCAGCGCCACGGCACTCCCTTCCACAGGCTACATCTCGTTGCTAGTAGAACCTCTCGGGCGAGGTAGCGCCGTCGGAAGCTTTCAGTAGTTGCTTGATCGTATAAGCTAGCGTTGTTCACGACCCTAGGACTTTTTCGAACAGGACACAATTTATTCCCGACGAAAACTATTGAGGAACGTCTGCTTGATAACACTCCTATTATTAACGGTTGAGCGTTTCCTTTCTTTCATGCCAACAGAACACGCTAGGCTAGCTACACAAGTTGAATAAGCACAATCTCTCATCTCGAGAAATAAGGCACTTTAAAGGAGCGGCGGTAAATTTTACACGTACACAGAGGCGACATTCTAAATCATCGGAGAGAGAACGGGAACTAATATTCGAAGTAAGGTGCCCATTAACCATTTTGGTATTTCTGAGTTGCGCGTCAAAAGGCTGATATCCTCTTTCTCTCTTTGACACTAGTGTTTTTTACGGCGCGGAACGGCAAACTTCATGGTCGTTTCTGCTTCTCGGTCAACACAGTAAATATTTCGGTTTAAATTTTTCAGCGGTTATGTGTTTCTTTTTTTATATAATTAAAAGAGCGTAAACGACGAGGGACCAGACGATGAAAGACACAGACACAACCTTGCTTCCGTGACTTTCTTTATCTGGTCCCTCGTCGTTTGCGCTGTTGTAATTCTTAAAAAATACCATACCAGCTAGCCGAAGCTTGAACTCTTAACTTTTTTTAAATGCGAAAGCATTAACTGTCCCATAAATCGAGTCAACGTCCTCAGCCTTGAAGCAGCGACAAACGACACCTTAAATCCTTTCTTCAAGTGAAGCCAGCTCCGAGCTACGAAACCACGCAAAAATTCCAGAAAACGGCATCGAGTTTCCCCGATTCCAAGGGAGCGGAGGGAAGCTCATGGATTTCGGCTTCGGTCCCATTGGCTTTCACGCGTCATAGTTCCAAAAAAAAAGGCTCCCATTTGCCGCTGCGCGTCAGTGTCAACGACCACCACTCCAGGGCGCAGCGTGTCCGTCAGCTCGCTGGTAGCACGAAGCTTCCAAGGTCAGAGCAGCGAGAAGAGGGCTCGCTCTGCCTTCGACGCAAATACGCCGGAGACGAAATAAGCGAGCGAAAGAATGACGTGCATGCTTTCGCATTCACAACTCATGAGAAGTGCTTCTGTGTAGCCCGATCCTCTTTTCTTTTAAGTTTTGATTGCGCGAGTTAAGTATTCGTAAACTTTATCAATTAGAACTGGCTGATCTGCTTGAGAAGCATGCTGCGGAAAATCCAGGTTTTTATTTTGCATTAGGAAAAGAAAATCGTATTTAGAATGTTCAAACTAACACTGAAAACAATCGGAGTCGCCCCTTACGCCCACTTCCGTGCCAAAGTCACTGCATTTTCTGCTAAATTTAGTGGGGAATTTCATATCACGAGGCCTATGCGCGAATTCAGTTTCTCAGCTAAATTTAGCGATAAATTAATGTTACGAGACCTAGACACCACATCAGTTTCCCCGCTAAATTCATCGGTGGAAATGAACGTCACTTGACCTGATACCATGTGACCTATGCAACCGTACAGTTTCCCCGCAAAATTTGACGAGAAAATATACGCCACGCAACACACCAATTCCCTCACAAATTCCCTATAATGCATCTCATTCAATATAAGGCTTGAAAAGTTAAGGTCGCTGCCGATTCTTTGTAGAGCGCAGGTCTTAGGCGCCCGTTTCCGGGTTTCGCGGCGTCGCCATTGGCGTCCGCGTCGGCGTCGGCGTAACCGTGCTAAATTTCGCGGGAATTTGGCTTCACGTGACCTCAACACCAATTAAATTCCCCACTAAATTAAGCGGAGAAAATAACGTCCCATGATTTGGTGTCATGTCAACTATAAATAAATTCAGTTTTTCCGCTAGATTTCGTAGGAAAATTGACACCAGGTGACCCCAGAAGCATTTCAATTCTCCGCTAAATTTAGCGGAAAGTTTACGTCACGCGAACTCCACACCAATTCTGTTCCCGCTCTAAAAATAAAATTGCATTACTGGTGTGAATTCACCTACGAACAAGCTAAGTTTCTCCGCTAGTTTTAGCGGGAAAGTTGGCGTCACGTGACCTCAACAACAATTCCATTCACCGTTAAATTTGAACGGGAACTGAACTGCTGTTGGGTTCACATAACGACGATTTTTCAGTTAAATTTAGTGGGGCGATTAAGGAAAAAGGGCGCGGTATGGAGGAGGAGGATGGGAGAGTATGCAGAAGGAGGTGGGGAGTGTTGGGAGGAGGAAGAGGGGAAAGTACGGAGGAGGATGAAAGGAGAGGATAATAGGGGTGGAGGAGAGGGGAGGAGGAAGGAAAAGGAAGAGGAAAGCAGGAGGAGGGGGAGAGGTGCAAGGGAAAAGGAGGAGGATGAGGAAGGAAGAGAAGGAGGATGAAAAGAGGAGAAGGGGTGGGGGGGAGGAATGGTAGGGGAGGTGTAGGAACAGGAGATGAGGTAAAAAGGACGGGAGGAAGACAGGAGGAGGAAGGAAAAGGAGCGTCATACCCTCCTCTCTGTACCCTCCTCTCCTGCGCTCAAGACCTGTGCTCTAGTTTCGCGTTACAGGGACTTGTAAGCGTCTTTCATTTTTTTCTGACCTTTCAATGACCACACTATCAATGGGAGTTTAAGTACATTCCAAACGAAAAAAATAGTGAACAAGTTCATTTTTTTAAAAAAAAGATAATCATTAAAGCAAGCCATAAATACTGGTTACACTTTTTTACTTACGGGGAGACAAACTCATCCGCCTTGTGAGCACGTAATTGCTGGACGGGATTTCGAGCACACACTCCAAGATGTCCGCCACGGACGGCAACGCGTTCTCGGCCATCTCGGCGTGAAGCACAACGTCGAAGAGGCCTTGGGAGGACATGGATGTGAACGTCCGCACCACCACAGGTTTTCGTTGGCCCGACCGTATCAAGTACAGCTTTAGTTCAGGCCGTGGAAACAGCCCTCGGCCCGTGCACATAAGGCTGACAGTGCGGCTGCCTTCTTGGGCGAAGCTGTAGTTGAAGGCGAAGGACTCGGCCGGCACTGCACAAGGTTTGAAAGAAACAGAAAACATAGGTGTACGATAAAGAAGAGCCTGTCAGAGAGACCTAAAATGGCGAATAAGTATAGTTTTGATATGAAGTTTTGTTGGCTTAAAGGTAAATGAACACATCTATTACCATTAGCCTCTGGCGCGTTCCCCTTCCGGTGAGCTTCGGGCGACTTCCCACCAGTATGATCGTGCGTTTTCAAATTGGATACAGAGTATGCGTTTATAAACGTGACTCCACCATCTAATTTTGCGGGCTCTTCTCCAGCCTAGCGTTTAAAATTCACGAAATAATACAAAGAGCGACTTTATATTTATTTTTTTGTTTTTGTTTTTGAATATTCATGGAACCGCAAAGCGCCCGTGAGGGAATTATATTTGGTGTAGGGCAAAAAAGTAAATGAAGCAACATAACATCAATGAAAGCAGGCGCTACCTACAGCATACACAACACATGACAAACACCAAAAAGTATTTCCTTGCTTATATTTTAAATTAATTTTTATCCTTCTATTTCTTGGCGTTTTTAAGTCACTTAAAATGGAGTAAAGGTTTCCGCTATTTAGACCAAAGTTACTTGTTTATCTTTAGCTGCTCTTCCAAACCTCTGTCGGTTTTCTTTCAAGTGAACACGGTCGGTTTAAGCACACGAGCAATGCTGATATACGCATTTAGAAGAATGATTGCAGCTACCCTTTAGTTACATAAATATTATAATGTCTGCTGAAACCCCACTGTTAGAAATGACTTTCTCAACATTGAAATGTAAAACTTCTGCTTTGCCTCGCATTGAAGGACGTTCATAGAAATGAGTGGAACTGAAGGCAGCTCCGCTGTAGGCCGGTATCGTGGCTAGTCGCTATGAATATGTATCGAATTAAATAAAAAAAATAATTTTATACAGAAACTTGTCTTTTATATTTGTTCTATGTCAAAATTGTCAATGCTTGTCACGAGAATCTAAAAACGTACTTAATGTTTGCTTGATACTGGCACATTTGCACTAGAAACATTCTCAATGCGTGTACTACCACGAACAGGGAGGTCACTTAAAATCGCTCAAAAAAATTGCCGAAAATTAAGATGCAAAATTAGCGAGGTTTATCCCACGAAATTAACCTAGCCAGCATGTAGATAAGCTTTATCTCATCGTCGACCCTTCAAAACCTTATTTAGTGCCTTGGCCCAGTCTACGTCCTCTCATATAATGGCAAAGATCTCATAGCTCTTCCACATTATATATCTGCAGTGTAAATTAAACGCGTAAAGAATTGACGCAACTAAAACGCCACTTGTTTAAGGACGCCTAAATGCATGAACTGTTGAACGTTTCTTTTTAATACACTGTAAGAAGTGATCACTAATGTAATGTCAAAATTAATAATCTGTAGAATTAGCGGCGCAGCGAAACCACTGCGAAGGAGTATATGGAGGCACTCGCAAGGCTCGCTTCATCAGAAGTTACAGAATTAATGGGCTATTGCCTCAAAAAAGCAACTAGATATAGATACAAACTAGCTCAATACCACTCTCAAATACGACAGCATTTAAGATGTCGGCCAGTAGAAAAAAAATAAATCACATAATCTTCTTTTTTTTGTCAGGAATGTGTGCTGTTCAATGCATCATATTTCAGTTCCCGACCTTCATAATATCTGTACCATGTTTACCGGCAATCATACTTGAACGACATTTGAGAATGATGGATGTGTACTCGAAGTGAAACAATTATATAGGGGTATCTAAATAATATGTTTGACGTAAAATCAAATTACAAAATGATTTTACTTGCCCGATATACGGAATAGAAGGAAAGCAAACTCATGCCAGATTTTTAATGAGATAGATTACAATTACAAATTACAGAGCCCCAAATTAACGAATCACCGTCACAAACTACAGTTGTTTAAAATTAGCGGAATACTTTTCTCGTTACGTTACAAATTGCTTTCATGTTACTCTTCCCGTACACTTGTCAAGAAAAGCTAGAAGCACTTTGGACGTGTTCAAAAAAGTTCTGCACAGCTGCTTTTTATTTATCATACTCTCATAATATGGTAGTTCTTAAAATAAAATATTATATGAAAAAAAAAAAAACAAGGATGTCGGGGCACTCCGTTCACCTGCAAGTTGACAAGGCAGCGAAAGGTCATCGACCTCCTCCATACCGCTAGCTTACTATGATCGGAAACGATCCCTGGAATTCTGCAGACAAAGCAAGCGGTGCGGATACTCAGTGGCAGCGTCAAACCGCTTGGAGATTCCGAGGTAAGAAAGCTATCTACGATAATTCCCTTTTGAAAGAGAATTTTCAAGCGTGAGCGCAACAACTCAAATTTGCGGTATCGTGCCTGTAGCTTTGATGGACTCTCAGCTAGTGCATGAAATGAGTATAGTCTGCGCGTTTTCCTAGTGGTTCCGGTGACCAATGGTAAAAAAACATCGGGGTTTCTATCGATAGTTTTCCTCTTCACAATGTTTTATATTTATGTGAACTTTCTATTGTTATGATGCTGAATTACCTGCTGGTATTGATCTATTTTATGTAATATGTTGATATTTTTTTAAAGGTAACCACTAACTATAGTAATCTGTCACTAAAATATTCAAACGAATTTACATTACAAAATACACCGCAAAAAAGTAACGTGGCAATTACCAAATTACTTGAAAATGTAATGCCTTACAAGTAATCCGTAACCTGTAAGGAATCACTTCCGACGTCTGAAGGCGAGTCACCGTTACATTGATATTTTCTTTAGTTCAAAATAATGTTACCCATCAATGAATGTCATTTAGTGACATGAGGTTGATTTATTGTAATTAGCTGAATTACCTCATATCAGCAAGCTTGAAAAGTTTTAAGTAACTTCTACATTGCAAGCTGGTCTGAGCGGAGGCTTTTCCAATGGGTCTATTCGCAAATGTGACTAAGCTTTGAGTTACATGTGGTTTGGTGTATATTTTGTTCTTTCGGGAGATAGAAAATGGTAAATTAGTGCTTTGAGAGGGGCTTCTGAAACCGAACTAAGATTATCCGTTTTAGCGATATATGGCGTGTGGAAGCATTTACAAAAAAAAAAAAAAAAAGCATTCACGGTTGCTAGAATTTTCCTACAGACGAATATAAAGTACGACATGACATCCACGTGCGCCATAGCAACCTCACGTCTCAAAAGCCAAAATCAACCCATGTAAAACAGTTCTTTGAACCAAAATTTCGTTTTTTGCTTGTTTCCATTAAAAAACCCAACCAGCCCAAATGAAACTGAACTTGACATTATTTGGTCAGAGTCTGGGTAACTTTACCCTAAATCACTAAACAAGTATCAAAGTTAGGCTTAACTTCCGGTATTTATACTTTCATCTGGAATCCTTGGGTCTAAATCGACAAACAAGTGCGAGAGTTATATTTAATTTAAGGGGCCCTAGACACTTGAAACACAAAGTTGACGTCTCTAATAGGCTGAACGCGCCGATTGAGCTTCGGCTGCCAAAGTCGCGGGGTCATCATCTTAAAGGTCCAATCAGCGCTAATTAAACTTGGGCCCCAAATTTGTGTTTGAAGAATTTAGGGCCCCTGATTGTTAGGTTTTGTGTGTGAAAAAACTGGGCGTAAATTGCCATAAAAGTGCCTGTTTTACGGTTCACTGCTCGGTTTCGGGTCACACGTGATATTTGGCACACGTCTAGCACTTTGGACATTATGTGACGAGCCAGACCAAAGCCACAAAAACGTCCAACGAATGTACTTTGGCACTAACACCTTGAATCAAAATCGTATAAAGACAAAGGTTGTATCGTTCTTGTGTGGGCTGGTAAGAATAGACAACTCGGGTATCAGGATAACAATGCCTTGGTTTATTCCATGTTGTTACTTATATAGCCGAAGGTGGAAAGGGGTTAGTGTAGTAGAGGGCAAGGGAAAGGCACGTGGCAATGGAGCATACAGATAGCTTGTCCGCCTTGATCTGATACGATACATTCTCCTTCCCAACGGTCGTTCACCGCTGAGCTCAACACCTCTGGCTCGTTTGCTGGAAGTGCTCGTCATAACCCAATCGCTCCGGAGGCCGCTTCTGTCGTGTTGTCCTTCGCGGTGGCTGAACCGTTGGCTGCTGAGCTGCCGTTTGTAGAGTCGTCGTAGTTGCCGTTTGTAGAGCCGTCGTGATGGTTGGCGCTGTGGATGTCATTCCGTGTGATGAGGCCCGGTCGTTGTCCGAATCTTCGTCGTCTGACAAGTCGACCTCGCATTCTTCCTTCGTCGCTAAAAGGTGTCGACGGTTGCGCCGAAGTATGGTATTATTCTCCGTACGCACGTAAAAGGACCGCGGCCCGGCTGATCCAACTATCTTGGCTTTCCGCGCCCATGACGCTCCATTCAGGCGTACCACGTCGTCGTTTTTAAGGCGGGGCAGCACCCGCTCGTTGTGGCCTGTCTGTCGGTGTTTCTTGACCCGTATCGCAGGAAGGGGATCGAAGTCCGGCACGGGTGTGCGCAGCCGCCTTCCTTGCAGCAGCTCGCCAGGAGACCGACCATCTTCGACAGGACATGCCCTGCAATTTAATATGCCAAGCCAAAAGCATTCGTTTGCAGCTTTCGTTTTCTTTAAGATGCGTTTGATTATTTGTACACCCTTTTCCGCGAGCCCGTTAGATTGGGGGTATTGCGGGCTGGATTTCACATGTTTGAAATCGTAATGCTTTGCAAACAGCGCGAACTCGTGGCTGCTAAACTGTAGGCCGTTATCTGAGCATACCTCCGTTGGGATGCCGTATCTCGAAAATATAGCACTCAGTCTATCAATAACCGAGGTGGCTGTTGTGTCGGGTAGGAGCTCCACCTCTGGGAAATTGGACATCGAATCGTAAACACAAAGATAGTGTCTTCCGGAATACTGAAAGAGATCGACACCGACACGGTACCATGGTTGAGTGGGCGTTGGTTGTAGAATCAGAGGCTCTGATGGTTGCTTATAGGCATATGTTCTGC